ATGTAGTTTCTTAAATGGTCAAAGTTTGATTATCTTTAGAAAGTATTATATTCTGACTGGAAAGCATTTTTCTCTCTTTTTCAATTGCCAATTTTTTGCCCTTCTTAGTCTGGCTCAAACTTTAACCCTTGGCCAAGTTTTTCCCTGTCAATCAACCTACCTGATCCTTCTAAGTGGCTTCATATCATGGTAAGTATCACTTATTTGGTGTTTATCATTTACTACTTTTGGTTAATACATCTTAATGCACTTACTGACTTCTCAATGAGATTATATCTCTTACAGTAAAGGCCCTTCGTTGTACCTCTTGAAAGCCACATCAAAGTTTGTCTTTTACATTGTAATTAGCAAAAAACTCTAAATTAAACAAAGGGAAGAGATGTTTACCTGGAATATTTGCAGAATACGGTGTTTTTCCATGTATTGTAGTGAAATTTGATAAGGATCTTGATATATAATAGAAGGGAATCGCCTCCTCTGAGTTTTGTTGTGTAAATAGGAACTACTCCTTTCCCGGTATTCTGAAATATCCTGAAATGGAAATATGCCCCCAAAGAGTCTTTAATAAATAAAAAAGCCTCAGAAAGTTTTGTTCTTATTTTTGCTATTATCAGTAGAATCTGGTGTTGATGGGATCTGAACACCACGAGTTGGAGAAAAGACAATTATGAGAGAACTGGTTGATCCTCCAGGTAATATAATGCACCTCAAGTTCTGGGAGGTAACTTAGGCTTCTTTCATCTACTTAAAATACTTTTCCTTTCACAGGGATCTCCAGTTGACTTCAAATTCCTTTTCCTTGGTAGAAGCCCAGAGAGGGTAAATGACTCGGGGCCTAGAGTTAGCAGCCAGATCAGGGCTTGAAACTCTGGCCTCCTGAATGCTGGTTCATTGATTCTTCCTGAGTGGCCGTAGAGTAGTAGAGAAAGCAACATATCTCTTTATTTCTCACCTTTCTTCTGCCCTTCCTAAATTTTATGGGTCACACATATCACAACCTGTGGGTATATTCCTCATCCTTGATCCAACCAGTGCTTACTTCCCACTCCCACCACCAAACCAATACCATAGGCCCCGGCTTGACCTCCAACCTCCCATGTAGGTATCAAATGCCCTTTTAACCTACAGGCTTGGTTTCTGTGACTTGACTTTTTTCTTGACTGATGAGATAGTCCAATTTGGTTGATATGGAGGGGAATCTTTGGGAAAAGACTTGGTCGTTTCCTTGGAAATTACTGATGTATACAGTAGCAAATGAGTTCGATGCTGGAGGAAAGTTTCCACTGTCAGCGTCAGATTCAGATGAAACTTTGGAATTATTGAGGTCTGTTTGGCTAACCTCAAATTTGCAGGGTTGTATTCTGAAGTCAACATCTTCGTCTTTCTTGCTGGTAAATAGTTTATCATCATACTGGTCACTTTCTTCATAGTCAAACTGGTTCTTTTCTGTGTCATCACCTTCTTTGTTCATTAAGTGGTCAGCCTGGTCAGATTCACTATAGTCAGGTTTGTCAACTACAAGGTGATGAGAACTGCTCTCAGCTTGGTCATCAGCCTGGTTTTCAGCTTGTTCAGTAACTTGGTCAGTAACCTGGTCAGTAACTTGGTCAGTAACTTGGTCAGTAACTTGGTCATGCACTTTGTGGTGAGTCTTTACAGAAGTTTTGTACCCAACTGGGTCAGACGATCTACGGTCAACATGCTTAAAAGCTTTTTGTTGAACCAGGCCGGACAATCTGCTGTCAATATGTTGAGGAATTCTTCGGTCAGCCTCACCAGGCCGTCTGTGGTTCATCTGTTCAGAGGCTCTTTGTTCATATGGGATAGACAATTTACCATTGGTCTGTATAGAAGCTCTTCTTCCAGCCTGGCTGGACAATTTGCGTTCAGTATGCTCAGAAGTTCTTTGTTCATGCAGTACAGTCATCTGGCTATCAGACTGTTCAGACTCTACATGATCAGTTTGGTCAGGTGCCTTACTGTCCATCTGTTCAGATTTTCTTTGGTCAACCTGATCAGCTGCTCTGTCATCAGCAACATTATCATGGTTCGATGCTCTGGGGTCAGCCGCATCAGATGTTCTGTGCTCAATCTGTTCAGGTACTTTGTGGTTGGGTTGGCCAAATACATCGGGGTCAGCCTGGTTAGCTGTTCTGTCATCAGTCTGGTTATCTGCCTCCTCTTTGTCCAGGTTCTGCCAGTTGTCTTCCTGGCGATCTGTGTGGTTGTTATCTGGGGACTTGGCTGTGTTTTCAGGTCCCAAGGGTTCTGCCAGAGCCTCTTCTGGAGGCTCTTCCATCTTCTGCCTGCCCCTGACTGGTCTAGGCTGCCAGACACTGTGGGTGGGGCTGGGCTGGGTTGTCTAGGCGACCTTCGGGGAAAGCATGACAACGCCGCCTGTGGGCTTTGTGCGGCCTCGGCACACTGGTTCTTCCCCGCTCTCCGGCAGTCACCTGGGGATCTGCTGGGTGCCAGCTGCTGCCGGGGGAAGGGTAACTCTGGCTCTGGGCACAGTCTGGAGAGGGCTTCCACCGATGCGCAGTGTGGACGCGAGCGCAGAGGTGGACACTCTTCTTGAGATGACCACATGCTAGTGTCGCCACCGTTCAGTGGCTAGGTCTCAGGACTCTGTGAATTGCTGCCTTAGAGCGGTACCTTCCTCTCTCTTCCTTGAGGAAGTTGACAGCGATGTCTGTGAAATCTGAACTTTCCGGTATCACTCCTCTAATCAACAAAATATTGGCTGTTGAACGGGCGTCCAACCACAGGAGGGCTGCACACCAGAGCAGAGGTTGCTATTGCCATCCTATCAAATCTGCGCTTTGTCCATCTAATGCCTAATGACAGTTGTCTTGCACAGTGTATTAGTGCTGGGCACTGTGCTAGTAAATGAACCTGCTAAATGTTATTCTTCTTTAGACTTTAATTGGTATTGTGGTGACCTGACCAAATTATGTGTTTTTACTTTTAATTTTTTAAAGCCATTTTTAAATCCTGTCGTTACAAATGGCGCTGGGGCTGTTTTTAGTGGTACCAGGCAGAGTTTAGCCCTCTTAACACTCATGTTACCAAAGTCATAGGGCTCTTTCCTCACAATAAAAGAGTGCGAAGAGGAGAGTTTTGCTCCCCAGCCCCCTCCATCCCTCACCTCCCACACACCCTTTGGCAGTTCATTACTGCAAAAGCAGTCTCTTCTCTGTCTCAAGGGATGGGTGAGCAGCTGTTCCCATTCCTTCTGGGAAGACAGGTCCTGGCTGTGGAAACCCAAGCCCCAAGATTTAGACATATATGGCTAAAGGGCTAGAGAGAGGAGAGGAGGTACAGTGAGAATGGGTTCTAAAATCATACCCCCCCAACAACCTTATAGCAGAAAGGAGGGCTGGGGTTAGGAATAGAGCTCCAGAAAGCAAGGGAGTAAGGAGGTGGGAGAAAGATAGGAAAGATGTTTTACAAATGGGGGAATTTGCTCTTGATGGTAGTGGCCCCTGGGGCCCAGGTTTTGAAATCTGGCTCTCCCTGGTTGAAAGAAACTAAGAATCCACTTCAGACCAGCACACCCTCTACTTTCAGAAGTAGAGCAGTACAGATGTGATTGATCAAGATGTTAGATTGACTTTGGAAAGCCTAAAATTACTGAGGCGGGCCAAGGATTGGCAGTGTGATGCCAGATATCCATTTAATATGGGTTTAATTGCATTCAGTAATTAGAGATAAGACTTAAAATCCAAATACAAATAGTTGTGATTAAGGTTTGAGAGAGAGTAGGTACCCTTAGTGTCACAGTTGGGAGCACAGAGGAGAATCTAGGCACACTGAAGTAAAATCATTCATTCAACAGTACCTAAAACATAGACATGTTTGTTGAATATAAATATATCAATAATCTGCCTTATTTACTTTTTTAAAAATGTGTGGAGCAAGTGGACAATGCGTTTGGAGTAAAATAGGTGAAGGCTATTGTTTACGACTTCAAAGGGGCGATGGTTTTGTTGATTTTTTTTTTCATTTATAAGTTAAATGTAATCATTATAAAAAAGTAAGAAAAACAAGCATAAAGAAAAAATTCCCCTGAGTTACACCCTTTATTAGCATTTTGATGTGTATCCTTCTAAAATTTCCCTATGTGGATCTATGTCTAATATCTTAGGTATGTGCATATTTTACGAAAGAGTCAAACTGTTTAATTGTTCTATAAACTGCATTTTCTTTTAAAAATTTTTTAAAATTTATTTTTCAGTTACAGATGACATACAATATTATATTAGTTTCTGGTATACAACTTAGTGATTAGACGTTTATATACCTTATGAAGTAATCACCCCGATATACCTAGTACCCATCTGACACCATATGTAGTTTTTATAACATTATTGGCTATATTCCATATGCTGTACTTTACATCCCCATGACTATTTTTATAACTGACAATTTGTACTTAATCCTTTTCACTTTTTTCACTCTTCACTCCCAAAACCCCCTCCCATCTGGCGACCAAAATATAAACTGCATTTTTATTTCTCACTATGGTATAAATGTTTTTCCTTATCAATAAATGTAATTTGAATTAAAGATCACTGGCTTTCAGAGTAAGCCCAAGTATATGCTAATTCTGTATCTGCCACTTCTAGATTGTTGAGCTTGGGCAAATCTCATAATTTCTCTGAACTTGTTTCTCATCTGCAGATGAAAATGGGAATAATATAATAGTTCTCAGAGTTCTTGCGACAACTAAATGAAATAATATATATAATTAGCTGGTATGTGCTTTATAAACAGTAGCTATTTAAAAATTTACATATGACAGAAAGAAATTAACTATGGGCAGTGAACACACAATGTAACATACATATGCCTTTCTATTGAATTGTACACCTAAAACTTACTAGATTTCATTAACCAATGTCACCATAATAAAAAAATAATAATAAATGAAAATAAATAAAAATAAAAATTTACATATAATCTATTTTATGAATTTATTTTGTTGCTTTCAACAGATTTATTGACCATCATTATACTAACATTTTACAATCTTGTCACATTTTTTTCCTTAAGATAAAATTTGTTTTAATTTTTATTTTTCAATTAGAGTTGACATTCAATATTATTTTATATTAATTTCAGGCCTTAAGATAAATTTTTAGTTGTGGAATTGATTGGTTCAGGAAATGCACTAATTTTGGTCTTTTTTGTTTGTTTTAAGTATATAGTACATTGGTTAGACATTTATATAGTTTATAAAATGATCCCCTTAATTAATTTTTCTCTCCTCTGGCTCTCTACCTAGCCATTACATTAATGATGACTGCATTCCCTATGCCATGCTCCCCATCCCCTTGACCGTCTATCAACTACTAATTTGTACTTCTTTAACCCTTCACCACTTTCTCCCAGCCCCCCAACCCTCCTCCCCTCTGGCCGCCACCAGATTGTCCTCTATATTTGTGAGTCTGTTTTTGATTAATTTGTTCTTTTCGTTCCTTAGATTCCACATATAAGTGAAATCATATGGTACTTATCTTTCTCTGATTTATTTCACTCAGCATAACTTCTAGGTCCATCCATGTCATTGTGAATTTTTAATGGCTGAGTAATATTCCATTGTATGTATCAACCATAACTTCTTTATCCAATTATCTATTGATGGGCTTCCATATCTTGGTTATTGTAAACTGTACTGCCATGAACATAGGGGGTACATAGATCTTTACAAATTGTAATTTTTGTTTTCTTTGGATAATTTTGGTCTTTTGAAACTACTGTATTTAAAAAGCCTTCCAGAAAAGTTGAGCAAATCTATAGCTCCACTAGTAATATATGAGAATGATATTTCCCTATTGCTTATATCTACAATAATTCTGTTATTTCCCTATAGCCTATATCTACAATAATTTTGCCTATCTGATAAATGAAAAATAGTATCTTGTTTTAATTTGTATTTTTTTTATATGTTTAATAGCCCTTTGTATTTCTTTTTTTTTTTGTGTGTGGATATCCTAGTTCTATTCTTGTCTTTTCCTTATTGATTTGTAAGAGCTTCTAACATATTAAGCTTTTTAATTCTTTGTTATATAAATTGCAAATAAATTTTCTTGGCTTTTTTGCCATATAGAAATTTTATATGTTTTATTTTTATGACATTAAATTAATTTTTCTCTGTAGTTTTTCTTTGAAGTAATGCTTAAGAATATCTTCCCTATATCTTAAGATTATGTAAATGTTCTTCACATTTTTTTTAGTACTTTTCAGTATGTGGGTATTTCTTTTTCTCTTAGAGTTAAAACTTAAGCGCACAGCTTGATGGATTTTTCCATGTTTATACATCTATGTATATACTACCCAGATCATGATGTAGAATATTTCCAATACTTTAGCAAGTTCCTACATGTCCCAACCCAGTGAATATCCTTCTCATAGTTAAGTACTGTTCTGATCACTGTTTCCACTGCTTAGTTTTTCTGGCTTTTGAATATCACACAATATGACTCTGGCTCCAGCCTCTTTTATTTAACACTATGCCTGTGAAATTCATTCATACTGTTACATGTAGCAGTAGGTAATTATTTTTCGTTGCTGTGCAGTATTCTGTTGTATTATATCACAAACTATTTATCAATTCTGATGTTGATTAACATTGGTTTGTTTATAGCTTGGAACTGTTAAGAACCTTCTGGTATATGTCTTTTGGTGGACATAAGTGCTCATTTCTCTGGGGATACACCAGATTGTGGGAGTCCTGGATCATAGGACAGGCTTATGTTTGGCTTTAGTAAATGCTGCCAGATAGTTTTCCAAAATGGTAGTACCAATTTATACTCTCACCAGCAGTGTATAAAAGAGTTCCACATGCTTGCCTTTCACTGTTGGTTGTATTGGTATGCTGGGAGTTTCATTCGTATTTCCTTTATGACTAATGATTTGGAACACCTTTACCGATACTTATTAGCCACTTGGATATCCTTGTTTTATAAAGTGCCTGTTCACATCTTTTGACCATGTTTATGTTTTTTTTCTTATTGATTTGTAGAAACTCTTTATGTAGCATGATTTGTGTGTATGTGTGTTTTAAACATTTAAACCTTTAATCTTTCTTCATTTTATTTTAGTATATCGTGTGAGATAGGAACCTAACCCAATCTTGTTTTTAAAAGGTTAGCTAGGTATTCCAATGACATTTTTTAAAAAATTATTATTTCTTTCCTGACTTAAAATACTGGGTTTTCCATATATCACTCTCTAATATATACTTGATTCTATTTATAGACATTTCACTCCTGTTTCATCAAGAAAAAATCTGTT